ACAGACAGGGTCGTCCCAATATGCGTTTTTGCAATTTGCATATAGGCAAAAACGCATAACTAGCACCTGATCAGAGCTACAAATTTTTTTAAAATCTTTAAACGAAGTCCTTCACTTCTTAGGTAATTGTTTTAAATTTTTTGGATTTTCTTACTTTTCAAACGTTTGGAATTCTCAGTTTACCAGCTTTTTATTTCAAATTGCATTTCATGCACTGCAAAATTTGTTGGAAAGCTTTTTCCCTTGACTTCTAAAAAAACTTACTCCCATACTGGCAGTACAGGAAACTTCGCCGGCATCGTTCTCGGCTTTGCAAATAATTTCTCCAGTATGCTTATCCTGATTAAAACTCTTGATGATTAACGTCGATGTATTCGCATTTGTGACAATGCTTATTTCTTCACTATTTTTCACCTCTTCGTTGTTTATGTACCACGTAAGGTTTAGTTTGGGGTCGCCAGTAAAGACAACCTGAAATTCGAAAGAAATTGCAGTTTCGAAACTTCTGACGAAAATTTTGAATCGTTTGACCGAATAAAAGGCGATAATCATATATTACGTGAAGCTATTGCAGGTCGTAAAAACTTCCTTTAGTGAGGGTAAGCGAATCGAACTGGCGGCTAGTCTCAATTCTTTTAGCTAGAAGCATCTGTCGGAAAAATCAGTACGGCTAGCGACAAAAATCTCCGGGGAACTATGCAAAAAAACGCATCTTCGCACCGGTAGTTGGTGTGCTGGCCATTTATTTACTCTTGATGATACCATCAGGAAGCAATTTACATGCACTTTTTGTGACTCACTCGCTTTGACCTCAGAGTAAGTTGTTCGATAGCTTCAGGCCATTGGATGTTCACTTCCTTCTCAGTTTTCTGGGGCATTTAAAATTATGTTAAAGCAAAACCTTATGGGTAATCTGTGACCCTTGTCGTGCTCTGATATTACTCAGCCACTCGATGAAATCTGGTGGTTCACCACGAGGAAGTACAAGCAGCGTTGCTTCTGAAGAAGCTTTACCGTATTCATTCACAGCTTCGCAGAGAACCTAAATTCAATGCTTGTATTTTTAGGAGAATTTACTAAAAGATGAGTATTTATGGTTCCCAGTTATCAATTTTTCAAGACAAAATATGAAAATCACAAATAAAAGTAAAAAAATTTTGCGAAAAACTTCACAACTAAATTTTTATGATTTTCATACCTTGATTATTAAAATTGCTCTTAAAATATTTTCGAGCGCTTTTCACCTTCAGAGAATTTTGAGTGTTCCCCGCAAAAACCTATTGCGAGGGTGGTTTTCTGCTTAATAAAGGCCAAATAAATCTGTAAATTTTATACCTTGCCAGAATAATCACATGTGATATTCCTGATTGTCACAGTGTAAGTGCCTTTTTCAGCATGGATCTTAATATTCTGAGTTTCTTCCAGCTTTTTCCCATTAACATACCTAAAAATACCGTTTGTGAAAAATCAAACACTGTTGTGTCCTGAGAGAAAAAATTATTGGTTTCTTGCAGATAATTCAAATTTGATTTCAAAACATCAATTCAAATTCGATTTTAAATTTTTGCCCCATAGTTCATGTCAAAAAAGAGACCAGTGGGCTGAATAATAATATTTCCCAAGCAATAATCACTCGTCCACGAATAAGATTACTTCATTAGCTCTCTTTCCGAAAATTATCCAGGACGATATTTATGCATACAAGAAACACAAAAGCACATTACTTCACGCGTTATTTTGCAGCTCCGCTCATTCCCATACCGGGTACCATGTAGTCATAACGCAACTTTCCTCTTTTTCTGCTCTTCCTCCCTTCCCCCACCCTCTTTTCGTTTCTTATTTCTCCTTACCCCTTCCCCCACCTCCCCGCTTCCCTTTCCCCACGCCGTTCTAGCGTTTCTTTCCTCTTCTGTGTGCTGTGTTACGTTTAGAAACAGCAGAATACGATCGAGTGCATAGCACAAAAACAGCTAACCAGGATACTTCCGGAGTAGGTTCGCCCATCAAAACAGCTTTCAGCTTCAGTGTATCGCCTTCACGGCAT